AAATGGTCGTGTCTCATCGCGAGGGAAACATCTCGTCCAACATTCGGGCGATAATCGAGCAGCTTAATTTGAATCCGACGGAGCGAGATCGTCTGCAGCAGTGCAGCAACAACAGTAGCTCGATAAAGCAGCAGCAAATACAGCAGCGCAACAATCATCACATCGCGTCGCCCATGATGATGCGCTTGGCTCCGAAGAATAATCATCATCGGCCGGAGGCCGCCGACAGGCCACGCGTCACAATCGGCGTTTATGGTCTCAACAATCATCACCACAATAACAATAACAACAACAACAACAACAACTGCGAGAGCAACATGAATTCCAGCAACGATAGCTGCGAACCGAAGCAGTGGAGCAAAAAAATTCAATACGACAACGTCGAGGAGTACAAGCACGAGAAGAAGGTGTTGATTAGAAAATTCGAGGCTAATAACAACGTGGTGGACTTGCAGGTGGCGAAGAGGCCGATCAAAAAAGTAAACGATATCGGCGATATCGAGAACTCGGCGAACAAGCCGCAGATCGTTACCAAAAATAATAAACTCGACAAGGAGATGGAAAATATTATCAAGAAAGCCCCGGAGCTGCGAAAAGTATTGCCGACCAAAATAGATAACGCGAACAACAAGCTGGAGAGTTTCCTCTCGAAGCCGGCTTGGAGCGTCAAGCCGAGCAACAACAAAATCGAGGGAATTTTGAAGAAGCCAATGAAAAAAATCGAAGATTGCGTAAACGACGACCAACCGAACGACGCATCCGTGATAACGAAGAAGGATGTCGTCGCCGCCGACGATAATAATTTGCCGAAAAAACCGATCTGGAAGATAGACGACGCGAAGAAAAAAGTCGAGGAATTGTCGAAGCAGATCATGAGGAAGTTCGAGAATAACGCGGAGGAGGCCAAAGTCTCGGTGATTAATTTGACGCAGAAATCGAACGACGATGACGGTACGAAGAAAAACAACAACAACGACTTGAGAAGACCTTTGAAGAAAATCGAGGATAAAGACATCAAACTGATGAGCGTCGAGCTCGTGACCGAGCTGCAGAAGCGAAAGACGGTACACAGAGTCGTGGCCAGGCCCAGGCAACGTCAGCCGGCGGCTAACGAGATCGTCCTGGTGGTTCCGGTGAGGAAAATAAATTAATAGGGGTTTCATTTTGGAAATATTTTACAATCTATTGATTTGTTCATCTCAAATATTACGAGTGAATGTATAATAATTTTCCTTTTTTTTTTGAGGAAAATGTAAAAAAGTCTAAATCCAATCGTCGCGGTACTATACGTTTCTTATTCTTGCGTAACTGTGTGCCATTAATGCAGTCGAACTAACGAGATTAAAGTCGCAGTTTAAGAGTCATGACTTCTCTGTTATATGACATTTAACGCGCACGATTACATTCGCTTGAATCACGCGAATCTCATAGTCGCGATAATACGATTCGATTATTTGAAAATGTTTTCTGAGTAAAAGAAAAAAAAAAGGAAAAAAAGACGAGCGCGTTTCACTTTTGCATTCGTTCTCGGGTGTGCGAGCAACAACACCTAATATAAAGGTACGTACACAACCGGTCTTATGAGCGATCGCCAACGATCGGTTACCGTTAGAACATTTTCTTACGGAGACTATGGGATTTTTTTGAGTAAAAAAAAGAGCTCAAGACTCCTCGTGTACTCTTCTTTTTACTGCCTGCGTACTGCACCGACAAGTTCGCGATATAAATATTTACAATATGGACGTCTTTTTTTTTTTGCTGACAGTTAAATTTGGCATGTATCCAGCGCGCGCGCGAGCGAGCGACGATCGGTCGATGAACGGATTATCAGACAACTCCAAATTTTGCACAGATTTAAAAGTTACCGTCGATGTAATACATATTAAATATTTTGAAGAATATGTCAACAAATGTGAAAAAAATGAAAAATAAAAGAATCGCGATGGGCTGCTATCGTAACATCATGATTACTTAATCGCAATGTTAACGTGTACGTACGCGTGTGCGTATAAACATAAATAACCGTACTGCCCGAGCATCGTCAATCTAGCCGTGAAATTTTTTTTGTTATATACGTTGCTCCGCTGCATCTATATAGCAGCTCTCAGCACATGCCCAAGCCAGAAACACGCGCTTCTCTCTCTCTCTCTCTTCTATATTATAACTGTAATGTACAAAGCTGCTCTTTGCGAGCCGTGTGCGCGAAGGCCGTATAGAAGCAATGCTCATGGGCACGAGGCACGATTCGCACGCTGTGAACACACACACACACAAACACACGAGTGGCCTATAGGTAACGAGAACTCCGAGACGTTCCGTAAACGTACGTACGTATAGGCGTAGTTACTTTTTTTTGTTGTTGCCTCTTTCTCGCGCCCCAACAGCAATAGCAACAACGACGACGACGTCGCGCGGAGTGCAGCGATGGGAAAGCTCGGCGCAGCTTAGCAATATGTATTGTATCTGTGTGTGTGTGTGTACACAGATACAATGACACGTGTAGTATACTTCTGCTGCAGAAACGCATACGTATCGAGAAGCGAGAGAGGCGATCCCAAAAATGGTTTTGTTTGTATATACGTATATTCCGCGACACACGTAGTGATGCCCCCTTTGTCTCTTATATTATATACCTATATACGTAACGACGATCCTCTGACACAGAATTACTGCAGTGCTGCTGCAGTCGTGACTCGCCGATGGCAGAACTGCGCACACGATTGAGATGGCTTTATGGTTCTCTCTCTCTCTCTCTATATGCTTGCCACACATAATTCGAGGCTGTGTGGCGCATTTTCATGGCCGAGCCCGAGCCCGCCGACGCTCTTTATAGAGCTGTATGAGTGTGTGTGTGCATTGAGTGAGAGAGAGATTGGGATCTCTTCGTTCGAAAGCTCCGCGAGCGATCGAGAGACCCGCGTACTGTCGAAATCTCAATCGACGACTTATCTGTTGATGTCGTTTTTTTGGGGTCATTTCAGACTGCACTCGTGCTATAATCGGCCGAGATTTCAAAATTATTATATATGGTTATTAAAACATAATATACGAATTTAGTTTTATAATACTGATGCAGTAATTGTTTAATTTATGAAGTCGGAGTCTTTTGTTTGGTCAAATCATAAACGTAAACAAATATCCTCTACAGGCTCGCTCTTCTTGTATCATTTCTGTAATAGCTTCGTACGCATGTTTACACGCTATAAATTATTATACATAGTCAGTACACGAAACGAATTGGCATCGATCGCTGCGAGTGATTTTCACGTGGAAAAGTAAAAAATATCTATTTTGTGTGATTACGTCAATAAAATGTCTCTGTCCACGAAACAACTAAAGAACTTACTAGAAAAGATCGATTTGGCGATCGAGGAAGAGAGAGATGAATTTCTCCGTCGACTCGACAGCATGGACCGAATTTCCGCGAATCTCCGAGACATTTTTCCCAAGGAAGACATCGAGTATCTTCTCCTGGACTCCGTAAAAAAAATGCACAAGGACAGAAGTTATTGTCTTCGAAATTCATTCATCGATTTTGTGCTCCTAACCGGTTACAAAGACGAGCCCGAGTTAGATAAGGACGGCAAGCCTCTGTGGCGTCGCGCTACACCACTGCATCGCGTCGCTAGACGCCGTTGCAACGACTTCAGCGTCCTTTTTCAAATCATCAACACTCGCGTCATCCCTCAACTCTTTCGAATTTACGACAGATTCGACGTGAATTACACCGACGAAACTGGACTGTCGCATTTTCACGTGGCCTGCCAGTTTGGCCAATACGAGATCGTCGAAAAATTCCTCGAGTCCGGACGGGTGCATCCCGATTGCCTGCCTCGATCGCAATCGGACGCGCGCTACATCTATCCGCCGCTGCACTTGGCTCTGGCCTACAATCGCAAGAGGGTGGCCGAATCGCTGCTGAGGGCAGGCGCCGATCCGAATCTGGCCAACGAGGAAGGATCGACGCCTCTGCACGTCGTTTGCCGGAGAAAATACGACGACGATACGGCGAGGCTGTTCTTCGAGATCTGCGACGACGTGCGAAAGACGGTACGGGTCGACGCACTGGACGAGTCGGGCCGGACACCGCTACGATTGGCCGTGGCGAATCTCTTGCCCAATACCGTCCAAGTACTCTTCGATCGTGGCGCCGATCTGTCTACGTTCGTTTTTCCTACCAAGATTGATTTTGGCGAGAAATTCAAAGCCAAGCATCGTCAAATTTTCGAATTTGGATTGGCGTCCAGTCTGCTGATCATCGTCGAGCGTCTAGAGAAAAGAGGATACGAATTGGACCAAAGGGACGCCCTGACGATTATGTCATTGTTCGCTCGCAACGGAGTGCTCGAGTGGTCGGCGGTTCTCGACGAGTCTTGGTGCGACGACGAACGATTCGCTGCGGGAGCTAAAAGGACGATGATCGCTCCGAGTCTGTCGCTCTACGAGCTGATCCAGCTACGACCCGAAAAGGCGGCGAAACTACTCGCGTGCGAGGATTACCTCGAGATCGCGCGCTCCGACGATTATTGGTGCCTCCCCAAGAGGAAGAATTGCGATCTGTATCTTTGCGAGATGATGTGTGGAAGATTTTTCCGACGATGGGCGCTCAATCATTTCTTGGAGCTGACGCGCTGCGAGCTGCCGATTCTCTGCTGCGAAGTAATTATCGAAAAGCTGTCGAACGAAGATTTGTGGCACATTTGCTTGGCGGCCGCGGGACAAAGCTCTTGATGGTGATGAGTAATATTTGCGATAATTTTTCATTTTCCGTATTATTCAAGTAAATAAATTTAAAAAAATTTAATTTATTATTTTGCTTACTTCTATTTTAGTTTATTTTTGCGTTCCCAGTGGTACTTTGCAATACAAATAGGGCACGAGTGACGAATGCTCGAATGAATGAATGCGATAAATTATGATTTAAGAATATTTTATAAAATTGAAGATGAATTGGTTGGAAATCGATTACCCATGATATTAATAAATATTTTTCTTCGCAGCTGCCGAGAAAAGATGCTACCCCGTCGGCCAACAGCTCAATACTCGACGATTCCGGAGTATCGCTCAAAGAAGATTTACGTATGTATATTTTTATTTACATCGTCAATTTCGTTTAAATGATCACGATTATCGCCTCGTTCGTCGATTCATAAAAACACCGCGGCGGTACATCATTGATGAAAATAATAACGATGACGATGATAATGATAATGGTGATTGAATGTAATATATGCGCATTGACGGAGGCGATGTTAACTCGTTGATTGTCGCTTCCTCTTTTCGCGCTATCAATCCCATGGGAACTTGTATGCGGTGAAAGAGTGTTTTGTTTATATAATCGAAATGATAAATAATGATAACAACGATAATAATTGCAAAAAAAATTTCTGTACACTCGCGTTTAAATGAACTTATCGATTGCTTCGAATAAAGAACTTTATTATAGCACGAGTAGATATTGTATAAATGATGTTAATTGTTTATTATTTCGCCAACAGCTGAGCTACCAACCGGAAACCTAAGTCACACAGCCGCGCATCATCGCATCAGCGTTCGGCCGAAGAATCGTCGACCCCCGAGACGCACGACGCCCACGGCTGACGCGACAACGGCAGTACCGACGACACCAACGACACCGACAACAACGACGGCGCCAGCGTCATCCCTGACGACGGCCACCCTCTTGGGCGAGAGCTTCGCCGCGAGCTCGACCTCGATCGACGCACTGGACAGCTTGGAGGAGGTGAGCCCCACGGAGGAGGAGGAGGTGGCGGTGCCGATGACTACTACCACCACTGCTGCGAGCACACCGACGACGCCCGTCGTCGTGACGCCGATCGTCGTGCCGCTCGCCGTCGAGCCGAGCAAGCCCATCCCGATACTGCGCAAATCCTCGAGCCGGATCTCGCGAAATTCCGACGTGTTCGAGGAGCTGGATCATCAGAAGGTGCCGCTGCGCCCCAAGCATCAGCAGCAGCAGACGGCCGCCTGCTCGCCCGACAGTCTCGAGTCCACGACGAATCTGGACTCGAGGAGCAGCGCCGACGTGCTGGACGACGCGACCAAGCCACCGAGGCCGACCCCGAGGTCGTCCTCCACCAGCTCGGACAAGTCGCCCGCGAGAAGATCCTCGGCGGCGAGCAATCGACTGTCCAAATCGCCCGACAGTCTCGAGAGCGGCTCGCCCATGGAATGGCTGGCCAAGTCGTCGAACGAGGGCCTGTTCGACATGATGGACAAAGAGGTGGTGAGCGCCGCCAGCAAGCCCGTGCCAGCCAGGAGGTCGCTGCTCGGTCCGCCGCTGCCCGTGTCCAAATCACAGGAACGAGTCTGCAGCAACACCGCCGGCAGCAAGTCCGACAGCCTCGAGGCGCTCAACAACAGCGACGACTCGATGGAGCGCAGACAGCAGCACAGGCACAGCAGCTCGGGCAGCATCGCCTTCGACCTGAGGCCAACCAGGAGGAGCCAGCACGGCCACCAGCACAGCAAGCTCATGTCCAAGTCGACCGAGTGCTTCGACACGATGATCGCCTCGGCGGAGCAGCAGCAGCATCCACTGCTCCAGCAGCAGTCGATCGTCAAGATCGACGAGAAGCGCAAGAGGGCCAGCTGCTCGGAGGTCAATCTGTCGCGCGGCGGCGGCGGCGGACGATTCCCCGCCAAGCTGCTGTCGGCCGAGAGCTTCGAGAAGTTCTCCGCCGAGGCCAGCAGCGACAAGCTGTTGCTGCCCGTCAGTCTGCGACGAGCCAGCGGCGGTGGTATCGTCACCACCAACAACAGCAACAACAACAACAACAACAACAATAACAACGGTAGCGGTAGCAGCAACAAGCGCATGGCGCACTCGTCCGAGAGCTCGGACAATCTCGAGCTCGACGACAACTGCAAGTTGGAGAACCGAAGGCGCTCCACGCCTAAGAGGCTCAGCAGGCTGCGCAAGAACTCGGAGAGCTCCGAGCTGGGCAGCACCGATACCCTCGACTCGGAGCGCAGGAATCACACCATGAAGTCGTCGGACTCGGACGAGACCCTCGACAGTCTGGAGAAGGATCTACTGGAGCCGGTGCTGCCGGTGGTGGTGTCGTCGCGTAAGAGCAAAGAGGAGGACGAGCTGCAGTCGATCCAGCAGTGCGACAATAACTCGATGGTGGCGGTGGTCGAAAGGAGGGACGATAACGCGGATGAGACTGCTGACACGAAGGTCGGGGCTTTCTGGCGAAGGAAGACGTCGAGTAGCGGCAACCAAGTGGTGGTGGAGTCCAACAAGGACGAGAAGGCCGATCTCGATATACACCAGCTGGGTGGCTACTTGCTGGCCGGCAACAAAATCCACGAGAACGGCAACAACGATAGCAAGGAGGACACGACGTCGCCCGCGCTCGTTTACGCGAAAAAGAAGCAGATGCAGGCGATGCATCTCCAGCAGCAACAACACCAGCAGCAGCAACAGCAAGCGCAACAGCCGAGTAGAGGTGGTGGCGGCGGCGGCGGCTCCGAAGAGCAGACCAAAAATAATCAGCTGACGAACAAAAGCGACGAGGAGGTGCAGAACATGCTCAATGGAAATATATCCGAAGTCACGACCGACACCAGGAGTTTTAAAGAAAAATTGATCATGTTCGAGAAGCTTGGGAAATAAATCGTATAACGAGCGCCCGTCGCATCGTGTTGTTAATTGAGTGTGTATATTTGCGTATAACGCGACGAGATTTTATAATAAAAATGTAAACGAAAGGACATTTACCTCCGTTTCGCTGCGTGTGCGAGAAAGAGAGAGAGAGAATGTGTGTGTGCGAGCGATTGTGAAAGCGCATTTTGCACGAATGCAACGAAACGCATTGTTTTTTATTGAACGAATCGCGAGGCATTTTTGAAATCGGTTGCAAGCTCGATGTATACGAACATTGCGAGATTAGTACCCTTTGTAAATGATGAAAAATGAATCGCACTTTAAAATTGAGCTATGAGAGCGTGATCGTTATCATCGCATCGAAAATCGTGCGTTGTGTTTGAAAAATGAATGCTCGCGAGCGACTTCATGTATACTGGAACAGCTTGCACACAAATTAAAAACATATTATCTAGGTTGTAAGCGTGAGAAGAAGTGTTAATTTATTGTTAATATTTGATAAAAGCCGAGGAGAAAATTCCTTGTGTAAAATCACACAATTACTTTTGGTTTTATTGTTAGATCAACGAAGTTTCGAATTAACTAAAATGTTTTTTATAATGAATGAACGAAGATCCAAAAATTTATTGTACCGAATAAAAAGTATTATTACGACTATAATTGTCTGATTTTTATCAGTTATTTTTCTTCGATGCATTATGCTGAATTATTTGTCTTATCTGTTTATATATATAAAAAAAAATATACGATTATATCAAAAGAGCTTTAGACGGACTTTTCGATGATGTCGCCAGTTACGTGTGTACAGTAGTTTAGTTTCACAACTAAGTATTTAAGTAAAACTCAAATTATCTTGGTACGTATACTCGCTAAAAGAATTTTTTAGAATACACGTAGAGTGATTCTAAGAGACCACGGAATTACTCGATGCAAAGGACTGCGTTAGAAAAGTGATGCTGATTTTTATGATGACTAATGTGATGTTTTGTTTTTAAATTAACGTGATAAGCTTAATGAAATATTATTTTTAATCGGATATTTTAGCGTCTAACGATTAGCTAGCAGCTTAAAAATATAATTGATTCAATTTTTCAAATGTGAATTATAGTGAATAAGGAAAACAGTTATTGAACTCCAATTAAGCTCAAAAAACTTCAAATAATTTAAAAAAACAAACCGCAATCCTCATGAAAATTTGAATAATTTTTTTTCATTACTTTTTAGCTAGAGTAATTTTTTGGTCTTGAAAAATACTCTAAATATTATATTATTTTTGTAAATATTAAAGTAACATCGTGTATAGTGTTTTCATCTGTGTAGTAACACAAGACACAAATATCAATCTAGTATTCATTATACATTCATTTCTTTTTTTAGAAATGATCATCGTTATAGAGATTTCTTAAAGATAAATCACAGAAAAAAATAATAAAAGTAGTGATTCTCGGCGAAATTTGTTTCGAGCCTCAAGTGCCTTATTGTGAACTCTTATCGAACAACAGAGTCATCTCAAACGTAAAAAGCATGTACTCGTATAAAACTAAAATCAAAGTAAAATTTTATCATGTTAATCAAAAATGAAATATTTAAATCCCGTTCTTTAAAATCCAAATAACAAAATTTAGGAGCTTGAAGGTTAAGAATAAAAATTCTCGCTAGTAAGGATTATCTTAATTCGACGATATTTTTGTCTGAATATAAATAAAGCTGCCATTGCTAATTATCAGTTTGAATATTTAATTCATTTATTTTTCAATCCACCTTCATCACTTGAAAATTAATTTAATTTATGCACACTGCACAGCAATTAATTGAGTAATTATCCTCAATTGTTTTTGTCGTAAAAACCTGTAAATGCTATTATCATATTTTTTCACTCTAACATCTAACCCAATGAGCTTTCATTCATATGCAGTGCAAATTCAATTATCTTTTATTTCTGCTAAGAAATCAAGTGCCCAGTGCTAAAGAAAAAGTTGAACAATATGAAAATAATTTAAAAAAATATGTATCACAGGTTCCCATCAAAGTTTTCAGATACTCATATGAAATCATTGATTTCGTAGACAAGCAAAACAAAGAAATATCAATATAAAAGGTAATATTTTCATACTTTATTGTTCTGCTGGAACTTTAACTGAGAAATTTTATTATAGTTAATAAAACATTGATAAAGTTCTGTTTCTAAGAACTTATAACGTTTGATATAACTTTATTTTTTTATTTTTTTTTACTTGAAAAAGACTTTCATTACAATGAAAAGCATGTAAATATTTGATTAATTTAATTCCTAGAAACTCGTATACTTTCATTAGAATTTGTTTTAATTTTGGTCTTGTTTTGGTTTTTAGTTGATATAAAATACTCATTACCTTCGAATAAGATTTTCCAATGTATGATTGTAGTTCAACAATTGGTTGTCGGATAGTCCAAATGACAATAATCTCTCATTATTCATTTGGTATCTTAAAATTCTACTATACTTTAGGTTTTATAATTAAATTTAGTTTTTTGGTGTACTTACACAATTCAATTGAAGCCATATCAATAGCCTATTTTCACGGTATTTCATTTTTCAGTATTTTCATTAATGAAAAATATTGAAATTTTACAAAATTAGAGCTCACTAAATGTTTTCCATTATTAGTGTTTTTGAGTAAAATAATTGTAATTTGTTCATTTTCATTTCATTTTTCTTTTTCATTTATTTTGTCTTAATTTTCAAGACTTCATAAAATATCTTTGATGTTTCTTTTTTTACATTTCTGATTTGGTCGGTGGAAAAAGTATTTGCATCTATTTTTCATTAGAACTTTTTAGTAGGATTCAAAATTTAAGGGAACAAAATTGTAGAACTAATTTAAAATAAGGAAGTAGATTGATAAAAAACCTTGTGTGTTTGTGTTTTTTGTTCTTAAAGATACAATAGAAATATTGTTCTTTTTTATTATTCAATATAATCAGTTCTCTTTAAAAATTTAAATCACAGTTCTTGCTTCGCAATATTTAGATTGCGCAATGCCTGTACTGAAAATTCCATGGTATATTTACACTCATTTGGTTTACTGACAGACAGTAATTGGTTTTCTGTTCCACATGTTAAAGTTACAATTGTTGATCTGGAAGGATTATTCCAACAAGTAAGTCTTCTTTTATATTTAGTTTCAGTATGCTTAGGTCTTTCATTCTTAAGGCGAATCCATTCTCTCTATTGACCTAAGCTTATTTTACTACCACTAGATTTTGAACACTAAGTAGCTTGACCCAATGCACGAAAAATATTAACACTCTGTAATCTTAACTGACCATGTAAAACAGAGAATTATTCATCCATAATCAACATGTGCTTGTCCCCTATTTGAATTTGATTCTTCTATATGGTGTTTGCCTTTCACCTTCATGAATTTCATTGTTATATTATATTCCATTTGTTTCTCTTGTTTCTCTTGTTCTTTATTTTCTTGATCTCTTTGAATTAGTCTAAATGAAATGATCACGATGATTTTTTTTTTAAAAAGTTAATGTAATAATGTTAAATATTCATACTCATTATGAATAATTAAAATTCAATTGAAAAGTAAAGTTAATTTTTTTCCAGCATAAAAAATGGTTTGACATTAGTCAGGCAATATCAATAAATTCTTGCATAATGAGTTCTTCAATATTATGCAAGAAATATAATGCTTCTTCTCTGCTGACTTTGCCATTACCAGTTTTGGTTCGTAGTTCTGCAATCAAATTGTACCATTTGAGTCAGAATCTAATAATTTGAAGTAATCCTTAGCTTCAAATTCTTCGTCTTCTTTTTGTTCAGAAGCTGGTTGCTCTATGTAAGGAAGATGATTGTACATTTCGAAGGCTGCAGCTTCTCGTTTCCAGCCAGCTTTTTAACTTATTCAAGCTCTTGTTTTGATAATTTTGCTTCTTTGCGAGTAGTTTAGAGCTTTGTCAATTGAGATTGATTTTTCATTTTCAATTATTTACCCCGAGTAATATACTCTTGACATATTTTATTGCCTTCTTTGGCAATTGGCTTTTTGTTAGATATGTACTCATTGCTGGCATCACAGCAATTGTACACTGTAAAGTTTACCCAGGATTAAGGAATGTATACAGATTGATAACCTGGAAATATTGTTTTTATAATAATTTTCTGTGAAGTATGCTATTGTAAATGAAGTTTAATTAAAAAATGATAATGTAAGTAAATATTTGTCATGAATAAGTAGTAGATCGTACCTGTATTTTGATAGTAGACAGTATCATTGGGACAGACGACCGTGAGGCTTGTCGTTGCCATCCTCGCAGTTACAGAAATCGTCGTTGATCTTCGAAAACGATATCGTCTAACTTTCTACAATTGTAAATATTTTACGAACTATTAATTACTCAAGCGGAACGAAGAAAATTAAAATTCTTTAGTATGTTTAGTTTACTGATACTAATTCAATGGGTAGCAGATGCTGGGCTTCTGCAATTGGCTGGTCAATCAGAGCAGAAACAGTGCAGCGAGTTTTTTGAACCGATCAAAAGTAATATTAGCATCCTTGAAGCAGTCTTACATTTATACGCATGTGTATGAATGTAAGATTGTAATGTGTTCGTGTTCAAAAGCGCTTAACACCCCCAGATTGACCAAATTTTCATATTTTTGTCTTTGAATATACTAATATAATTTTAATAAAATATTTCAGTCTGTTTGTTCGTACAAAAAATTTTAGATAAAATAAAATTATTAAATGGATTAAATTAGAGTTACAGTGATATTTTTATTCTAAAAATGCAAAACAATTTATAAGAAATATTTTTTTTTACAATCTTTACGAGAATTTAAATTTCGCGCTGCTCCGCTTACTTGTTGCACTATGTTGTAACTCCGTGCTCTGAGTGTTGGAGCAGTAGCGCCTAGAGTGGCTCTGCAGTCACCATTTACATGCAATTTTACGGAAAAAAACAGGACGTCCTGTCTAAAACGCCAGCGTCGGCCGCTCAAACTAAATTTTTTCTTATGAGAATTAATATGAGAAAAGCGCCACGCCTGACGTCAGCATTGTGAAGAGGTTGCCGTAACATGGCCTATAGGTGGTAGCCGCTGGCAACTCGCTGCTGCCAACTTATGAGCTACGTGACAATACAGTGGAGAGAAAAAAATAAAATAATTGAAGATAATTAATCTAGTATCAATTTATTTTTTCATACAACAACAAATAAGCATCTCTAGCTATAAATTAAATTCTTCGAAGTTTATGACTTTGACCACGCAGCCACGCAGTGCTATAATAATTAGGGCTGTGCGAGCATCCGATATTTCGAGTTTTACTCGATTCGAACTCGACTCGCCGAGTTCGAGTATTCGAAAAAACTCGAGTACCTCCCAGGTGAAAATAGTATGTAAGATCTGACTCCAGATCTGGCATCAGATCTGGTATAAGATCTGACAAATATACACCAGATCTGACATCAGATCTGATACCAGATCTTGTATTCGATAATCGACATCAGAACTTATATCAGATCTGACATCAGATCTAATGTCAGATCTGAAGTGACTGTAATGCCTTCAATTATTTAAACAATAAGTTTATTAATAATTAAAATTTTATAATAAATCTTAATAATAAAAGTTGTTGAATCAATTTAAATTTACATTATCAGAAACCTAAATATTGTAGGAATTTTTCTTAAAGGTATTATCGATGTGATTATTAAAATATAACTAAATTTGTTATAAAGTTTTAATTATTAATAAAGTTATTGTTTAATTAATTAAAGGCAATACAGTCACTTCAGATCTGACATCAGATCTGATGTCAGATCTGATATAAGTTCTGATGTCGATTATCGAATACAAGATCTGGTATCAGATCTGGCGTACATTTATCAGATCTTATACCAGATCTGATGCCAGATCTGGAGTCAGATCTGACATACTATTTTCACCTGGGCTGGAAAAACACGAGTACCCGAAAAAACTCGAGTACTCAAAAAATCGAGTACTCGACTCGAACTCGAGGAAAAAACTGGAACTCGACGAGTCGAGTTTTTTCGAGTACTCGCACAGCCCTAATAATAATGTTTTGTGTACACGCTGTAGTTTTATGTTTTTTTTTCTTCATAAATGAAATGTTTTTTTACATCTTACATTAATTAATGAAGTGTAATTTACATTTCATTCACGAAGAAAAACCACGTAATAAAACTACAGCATGTACACAAAACATCATTTGAGTTCTGCCGCCTACGTTTAAGTTGGCAGCATCGGGTCAGATGATAAAGCCAGCAGCCATGTTCTGGAAAGTTTTTTCAGAGCACTCTGGTCATCGAGGACAGGCCCATATAAGCAGACGTGAGCAGTTCATTTCTATTGAAGACCAGGTGGAAGACGCTTCAGTGTTGATTTAACAACTTTTATTTTTGAAAAAGTCAGACACTCGAATTGAAGAATCCATTGTCAGAGTACCTCACCAGTTAATTAATTGCGTCTATCAGTTATCATCTGTGTACGTTACAACTCTAAGAGGTAAGTTATTTAATCTTAGTATTTTTAGGTTAGAGTGCTAAAAATATATATTTTAAGATAGTCCGACGATTAAATAGAATAAATGAGAAACCAGAAAGACCTTCATAATATTGTTCTTCAGTATGCTGGGGAACTCCTATATTTTTTTCAGTATTTTTTATCGCGCCAGTTTTCAAGAAAATTGATCTCCAAAGATCAAT